AATGGTTTAATCGACACTCTTTCATGGTCATCGGTGCCAACCATTGATCCCACCGTGGTGATCCTCGTGATTATGGATCTTCCATAGTCATGTGGACTGCTTTTTATTTGGGGCCCACGGTCCAGGTGGGTCCCACTATTGTCTTGTCAAAATCCATCCATCAATGAGAAGACGGTGATCCTTATGATATATGGATTTTACACTCACGTGGACTATTCATTTCTGCTTTATGATAAATCTTTAAGGGATGCGGTTTTTGTATGGTTGTAGTTTTAACGAATTTTGGAAAGACTATTGCAAAACTTTAAAATGCAAACATGTTGCAATCAACTATAGTTTTATTTTTATCATTTTAGTGTGGAATTTGAAACTCTAAAAATGATATAGATCTTATGAATCTTGCATCTCTGTAAAAACCTTGAAATAGATAGTCCCTAATAAATATAAAAAGTATAATAAATAAACAAATATGTGATAAAATGTGTCTGTCGTTCTCTAAATCACCATATCATTCTGTGCCATCTGACTTATGCTATATTTTGGCAGAGAGAGAGAGAATAGTGTACTCTAATGGGAGAAGTTCTCTCATGGGAGGTAAAAGAGCCACATTCAAGGAGTAATGTTTTTCACCAGATAATTTTGGGATCTAGTTTAAAGTCACCTAGTGAGTATTCTAAAAAAATTGAGTTCTTAAACACCTAGATGTGAACCATCCAAATGTTGGATAACCTCTGAATCTTAGGATATTATTCTTTAGGCATATACATATCGGATATTGGTGTTATTTGAATAGATTCCATCCCTTAAATTTAGGGTATTCAATGCAGGGATTTATGTGATAAATTGTATCCAGGATATGCTCCTAGGGAATATATAATTTTTTGATAGTATAAATATTTGGAAGATGGTTTGATAGGGCTGTAGCCCCATCAAAATAAGTAAACCCTTAAACTCATAAATAATTGAAAATTGTAATTCAAGCATTGAAAAGCCTTAATATCGATTACCTCGGCCTGAATATTATGGTTGCGAAAAAAAAATAGAACTTCAAACTCTAAAAGTAGTGTATATTATAACAAATAATCTACACTGTCCATCTCATCTTAAAAATAGGTGTTCATAGATCCACAAGATTTGTACCATTTTTTTAGTTTCAAAATTTATTGTCAGTATTGGAAATTGATTTTAGAATCATCATGGAGACTTCTACTCTCGAAAGTGCTTTTCAAATTAAGATTTTAGGTAAGGCCTTATTTTATTTTAATAAAACTCAAGCTTTTAGAAACTTTGTCCTGGTTCGGGTAAAACAATTTGTCTTTTGAGGAAGGCTACATAGGTTCGCCTTAGCCTAATTTGGGTCCCCCAAGCTTAGGATGTACATCCGCCCTGATGGAGAAGCCCATGAAAAAAATTCAATCAGAATATTAGAAATTAGTTTTTGGACTAAATAAGAGAGTACCATATATTACAAGGCCTGATCTCAACATATAAAAACCTCAAAATTTATTTATTTGCTTATTTATATGATAATGATACAATCTACAAAATTTTGAGATTAATCAAGAGGATCGCCTTAGGATAAACAATAGACATCCAATTCTTAAAACAGGTGATTGGGGTAAAATTTGAATGTTTGAGTTGGGTACAAAAATACAGTAGTTTCGATGGGGAGTTTTTCATTTCTACCTTGAATTTTTTGAATTTGGTACAAAAATACAATAGTTTCCATTGGGAGGTTTTTCATTTATACCCTTTATGATTGTTGATATATTATCAATGTACCCCTCATTTCTCACCTATTTACTTGAAATTTGATATCATTGGTTTTGCTATATAATGCGGTTACAGGCTAAACAAGTTATACGATGGATATAGTGGCAACAAAGCATGAGTTTTATGTTCATAGTACTCAGTGTTTCAAAACCTGGATCGGTGCGGTGGATGGTCCACCCTAAAAATAATATCAGGGATTGCTTATTTTGAGTATTGTTTTTACTTGTTGCACTCTTGTTGCACTATTTTTTTTTTTTTACTTTGGCAAAATATGAAGCAAATAGCAATCTTACTAACATATAGTTCACTCTAACTAACATATAATTCATATATATAAGTATATAGGGCCCAAACCTTTTGAAATCACATGCTTTTAATATGACAATACTTTATAATAACATACCTCCATTGTGATAAGTTTTTATTTTATCTTTTTTTTTTTTGTGCTATAAAAGTCTCTTAAGAATATCTCTAATTCTCTAAATAACATTTTCCCTCTGTCTGTTTTTTTGTGTGCGTGATATAAAAGTCTTTCAATCATCTGTCCATATAATTTGTAGCTAATTTATGAGGGTAAATTCAAAAGCCCTCTTTCTGTTTTTTTGTGTGCGTGATATAAAAGTCTTTCAATCATCTGTCCATATAATTTATAGCTAATTTACAAGGGTAAATTCAAAAGCCAAAGAAAAAAGTGAACAAATTAAGGTATTGAAGGAGACTAAAGAGGGATATTAATTTTAAGCAATTTTTTTTTGGTATGTATTAAATTATCTTTGTATATTTTTGTATATTTTTTTTTATAAATATCGTATTAATACTGTTCTGGTTTGATTTTTCTTACACAGACTAGTATTTACAAGTGGTACTCCAAATCTTATGTCGACTGGTATTTACAAGTGGACAACTCCAGATCGCATGCATCTCCTTGAACTTTACAATTCTATTTCTATTTTGTTGCGAGACCATTTAAATGTAAAGCTGACATTGTTGGACGACTCCAGATCTCGTGCATCTCCTTGGACTTTACAATTCTATTTATATTTTATTACGAGACCATTTAAATGTAAAGCTGACATTGTTATTAACTTGAAGATGGTTCAAATTTAATAAACCAAACTTTTTTTGTAATAATTTTGATCAATAATATTTTACTACCGAAATATTGTTTTATTAGCATTAAATTAATAATAATTTATTCCTGAAATACTGTTTTTTTACTACAGAATTTAACTTGATGGTGTAATATGGTTTGGCATATCTGTGTTCATCTAAGATTTCATTTTCAAACTTAAAGGTTCACACTTCATTAAAACTTTTTTTTTTTTTTTTTCTTTTCTTTGTGTAGTAAATTTAATAAAGCATGCTGTGTTCGACATATGTGCATGTAGTCACTTCAAAAACGAAAAAAAAATTATTTTATGACATAGTTTGGATGATAAATATTATACACAAAGACATACATATGGGAATGTTCTTTGCATATGAACCACACGCATATAAAGTGAATGTGACCCCTACTCGGAGTCTTAAAAAATGAGTCGATGGCTGGGATGGCTTGAGTTCATAGGTTGGCTCTTGAGCATTGGATCTTGATCCGACGGTTCAGAGTGTTTTATTTTTAATATTAAATTATAAATCATTTTATAGCAAAATTTGGGGTATTTTGGTCATTTATTTTTATGAGAAATATTTTCTTTTATTTTTTTAGGTGTAGCCCAACAAGAATACGGGACATTCCAAATTTCACCAAAAAAGGTTTTACAAAAAAAATGAAAAATCACACCGAAAAAGGTTTTATAAGAAAAAATGAAAAATCACACAGTGTTTTGGCATGACATTGCGACAGGGACAATCCTAGCCATCCATTTAGATTGAACAACTGAAAAGGGAACATATTCGTTTATATGTGGGTGGGGTCACACAAAAGCTTTCCACTATAAAATCGTATGTATCAAGTGGCGGAGTAAAAGGGCCATACTGTCATATTAGCATAAAAACAACTATTACATAGCCATAATTGTTATATAATCATGAAAGGAATATAGGGTTTCATATTTTCATTTATTAAATTGAATATTTGCTAAAAATTTAAAAATAACATTTATAGGAGGTTGAATGAACATTATTCAGAGTAAAATATCTATAATGGATAACACACTCTTCTTCTTCTTTTTCAAATTTGGAAACCCATATTTTTCAAAAAAAAGAAAAGAAAGAAGAGTGATGTTATTTATTAATGATGAAGGATTTACATGGTTTCATCATGAGGGATTTACATGATTTCACCATTTATGTTACATGAAGTGGCGAACAGAGTGCCATTCTATTATAATAGACACGAGTGATTTTCATGGTGCTTTTTTGAGGCATGGTTTCTAATATAGATTTAGTATTAGTGATATGGGATACTTCTAAGTCTCCATTTGAGAAAAGGGACTATACAGCTCCTCTGATAAAAGTATCATTTTGAGAAAAGTTACCACAGATCTAGGGCTAGCAGCAAGCAGGCAAGCCTACCCCCTATTCCCCTGAGGGCCGGCGCAAGCCCAGGGCCGGCGCAAGCCCGGCCTTGGCCCTATCCGAGCCACGCAGGGTAAAATGAAAAGAAAACAATGCAAAAAAAAATGAAAAACTAAGGACCGGGTCGGCCCTGTCTTGGCTTGGTCTGGGGTTGCCCCTTAGGTCACATTTTGTGGCCCAAGATGTAGTTTTTTTAGGCTGGGTTGGGTCACCCTGCCCATTGACTGTGTCAACCTACAGATATCTATGTAGGTGTACAAATATTGTTTGCCATCAAGTTACTCCACTAGTCTATGCTAATATTTTCATAGACAAATCAAATTTGGCCATTTATTTATTTATTTACTCTATGCTAATATTTTCATTGACAAATCAAATTTGGCTATTTATTGATTCATTTATTTATTTTGATAAGTAACTTGGGTCATCTATTTATTTATGTGTGTTGCATTTTGAAAAAATTCATGTTTGGTGAATGCCTCTTCAGATAACTTAATCCATTATTGAACTATATCATTCCAGATTCTAAATTTTATATAAATTGATGAACTGATGTCTTTGTAAGGTAATGTCACTCATGTTCTAAACATCACCCTAAAAATTAGCCATAACTCAAAAGATGAACACTTACACAGTTTTCTTCATAACTGTTGCTTTATCGACTACGAACCAATTAAAACTTGCTTTAAAGAACTTACAAGATACACTCAATAGTTATAATATAATATTGTATAATAAAATGCTTTCATATATACTTCGCACTGGCAGAAGTGCATTGCACTATATTGTCCATTATGTTTTAGAAAAAATACATGTAATTGGTGTACATAAGGGAATTTACAGTGAGTTTTCCTAATGGATTTGCCCAAACATGTAGAAGGATTTACTTGATCTCGATAGCTGGAACTGGCCCATGGTTTCAAATTTTGAATGCCAACTCAAAAAGAACCAATCGAATTGTTGAAATGTGTCCATGCCTCCTACATAAGAAAATAAATTTCAATCAGAAGTAAATAGATGCATTCTGATTGTTCGTGGCATGTCAGCTTTAGAAACTAGCTTTTTGTTTCAAACATGCTTAAGATAGAGGCATTTGTATATCAGGATAGGCATTTGTAGATGTAAACAAACTATGAAAATTTGCAAAATGATTTTGTATTTTATTTTTGGGCTGCATGGTGAAGCCAATTGGGTGACTGATATGCTAGCAAACCGGACATGCAAAATGGTCTCGGCTTCATCTACATTTTCCTGTTTTTTTTTTCTCCCATCTCTCTTTGTGTTTTGCTTCATTTACTATTATGTATCTATGCATGCAAAAACTTAACCATCTGTCGATGTGTTTGTGTGTAGGCCTGAACATGAACTCTAAAGAATATTAAAGATCTAGTGTTAAAGAAATCACATTTAAAAATTCATGCAGGTGAAAATATTATTTTTATCCTTTGCAGACACAACTAACTACCTATATTTCTATGCTAATCTCTATTTACTAGAATCACATATTTTTATCTTGGGTCGATAATCTAGGAAAATGGAGAGATCGTGGAAGATATCGTACATAAAATTAGAGCTAAGTGGACGAAGTGGAGATGTGCAACCAGAGTTTTACGTGATCGTCGCATACTAATAAAGTAGAAGAAAAAGTTCTATAGGATAGTTGTAAGACTAGCTTTGCTTTATGAGGCAGAATGTTGGTTGCTCAAGAAACAACATACTCATAGAATGAGTGTAGCTGAGATAGGGATGTTGAGATGGATGAGTGGCAAGACAAGAAAGGATAGAATTTAAAATAAATATATTCGAGAGAATTTAGGTGTGACATTAATAGACAATAAGATGCAAGAAAGTAGACTAATTGGGTCGACCATGTATGGCGCAGACCCAGTAAAACAATTGCTAGGAGATGCAAGTTAGTTAAAGTGGAAGGCTAAAAAAGGCCAAGGGGCAAGTCCAAAAGAATATGGTTGGAAGTAGTGAGAAAAGATATGGGGATTTATAGCCTCATCGAGGGTATGACCCTTGATAGAGCGGACCAGGATTCATGTAGTCAATCCCAATTAGTTGGGAAAAGGATTAAATGATGATGTTGACATATTTCGACGTCAATGGCCTAACCAATATATCTACATTATGGAACTATGGATGCAATCTTTGAGCGGAAGGTTATCAAAAGATTGAAGCATAATAAAATGGAGAGAGAAAATTTATTGTATTCCAAGCAACAAATTTAAAATACCTGCAAAATGTCAAAGACCTTTTCTGCAATGTATTTTTGATGCACTGTGACACCCCTCTGTTGCAGTTTGTCAGGGTGTAGGCACAACAATGCTCTTTGATACGCTCTCTTCACCGCAGACCCTTCTATTATATCAACTAGAGGAACCGGCCTCCATCCACTTCCAGGCCAAAGAACCTAAAAAGAAATGGTGTGGCATTAACAGTTTAGTGACAGTGTTAAGGATATTGAGCAATGTCAACAATATCAGCCTTCACAAAAATGCAAGGACAGCAAGAAAAAATCATTTTTTTGTTAGAGAAACATATTCTAAAACTATAAGTTGCATGCTTATCACAATTGAAAATCAATTTTATGCTTATGCACGTATCATGTGATGAAATGTTAGGATTTGTAGGATATTCTCTAAATTTTTGGCAAATAAAAAATGGTATGCCCATCAATGATTTGCATTAAGATGTGGGATAGGTCATGTCCAATAAATTTAAGGTCATTAGCATACTTAACTTCTAACAGAGAGACATCACAATACCCTAGAATCAGAGAATTATTTTATCGATCCATAGGCCTAACTGCCTAACAATGCAATCAATCATATGCATGTACATAACCAAGAAGCTCAATACACAGCAGTTTTATTCTTTCATTTGCTTTGTGTAGTATACTAACATATTGTAGAGTTGAGAGCAAGGAGCGGATGTTTCCTTCTTTTCCTCTGGACCAATTACGTAGCTTAGTATCTGATTCCTGCGATAAAATCAACTAATGTTGATGAATACAAGGAAACCCACACAAAAAGTACTCTTGCAGGAAAGGTTCTTACTTGAAATTCCTCTTCTGGTTGAATTTTTGCCATCTGATGTTTATGTTTCTCCAAAGCATACTCTACCTATACATATGACCACCAAAACACGAGAGCTTGAATTCTAGATTCATTATATATTAGAAATCAAGGAATTCTTGTTAAACAAGTCCTTAGTGAAGAAGCTCCAAACAACAGTCATTTGAGAAATCGGGACAGTGATGAACTACAGTGAGCCTGTCGCTCTCTTTTTATACAAATGCATTCCAAAGGTATCGCCATTAATAAAAGTTCCATTACATATATGTTGGCATCGCCAAGACAGGGAATGACTTAGAAGTTGTGGGTGAAGAAGTTAATACGAAGATTTTTTATAAAGGAAAACTGAGGGATCTCACAACATTTAGGACAAGACAGAAAAGTCCTACTTAGACAAGTGTGCAAATCCAGGGATAATAAATGTCAAACAAATGGTAACAAATCCTCTTAATTCTCACATGCAATATGCATAAGAACTTTTTTATTTAAACAGGTCTGCATAGAATGTAAACCCATGACCACTGTTCGAAAAAACGAATCAGCCTCTAAAACCAGCCAAGGGCCGGTGCCAAGTAACCAGTAAACCGGCTGGTTCAAACGGTCAAAAAAGTGTTAAAAAAAATAAAAAACAAAAATAAAATCCAAAAAATATATATTTAAAGCATGATTAAACAATGCACATCCAAATGAAGTTGAAAATTAGAGAAAACATGGATTTAAAAATTGATTTGTGCCCAGGGGTATTTTTGAAATTTTTCAACCAAGATGGAAAAATGTATAAAGTAAGTATTCATTGCCAAAACACTTTCCAATCTTTGCCAAATCCCTTATTTTTTGTGATTTTATGTAATATTTTTTGAATTAATTTAAAATACCCAGCCATATCACCAAAACCGGCCAAAACCAGAACCGCGAGTGCCCAGTTCCGAGTTGAATAGGCCGAGTTTGCGAACACTGCCCACAACTGAGGGTGGAGGTTAATACATTAGGTTTGTGATTGCAGTAATAAGCTTCAGAAGACTTGGTTTACTCTTAATGATTAATATGCCATGTCTGCATATACAGCAAAAGAAATCCTTTTCTATTTACATATCTATGCATTCTATGTATTTCTAAGAATGTCATATACATACCCGAAAGTTTTCTTGGGTATCTTTACCATAGGATTCTTTTCTACGATCAAGGCCATCCATAGAGTGGTTCACGGTTCCTTTTGGCATAAAAAAACATAATGTATGTCAATGATAATGGTTGAATAAATGTTTAGAGAGACTTATAATTTTATAATAAAAGAAACGAGATTGAACAGCAAACTTGTAGTAAATAAGCAAAGATTGAGCAGCACAGTTTTCTTGGGGTTGATTCGAACCAAAAGATAGAGGCACGAATACATTTAGTGTTTATGCATTTCAAACTTTTGTATGAAGGAAATGGTTTGTTACCAGTTGAACAGACACCCATAGCCAAATAAATTCTTATTCATTTATGGATTCATGTGAATTATTGCTCTCTAGTTGAGGAACTTAAATACCTTCCCACTGTATTCCAACTACTAACGAGCCTAAAGCACCTAATGGTCTCTCTCTCTTTCTGTAGACTTCAAGTTTCAGGGTCTACTGGATAACTACTGTTACTATAATCAGAAGACTAACCAGAGGGAACTTCTGTGTCATTCCAAGATAAATCATGAACTTCATGGACACTGAATGGTTCATCAACAGAGGAGTTTTCTCTCTGATTTTGGATACGATCTACCTGAGAAATAAATATTTTAAGCAGTAAATAATCAGAAATGAAAATGAAGAAACTGACTGATAATTCGTAATATATAAAAGAAACAATAAACAAGCAAGGTCTTAGAGAACTTTTATTGCATGGTCTAATGGAACAAACCACAATGGGAATCTCTGGCAAATCTGCAATAATGGTTCCATTAGCCATCTTCACTTGATTATCAGAAAAATCTGAAGATATGGCTTCTTGGGCATCCCCTTTGTGAGAAACCCGGTCTTTTACACCAGAAACTTGGTCGTTGCCTTCAGTTTTACTCATGGGTTTAGGATCCTGATTAAAAATGTTAATGAATTCCTTGACTTTGCCCTTGACTCTGTTGCCACGCATCTTGGATTCTGAATTAGCCAAGCTTGGCCTAGTTGCTTTCACCTGTTTAGATAGAGTTTCACCAATAATTTCCTTTTGTTGTATACTATCATTGGCATTTTCTGATGGCACATTGCCTTGTAAAGAACCTTCTTTCTTGCCGCCCTGTTCAACCAACTTATCCTTCACTGTTGCTAACACATCAGAGGAAATGTCATTTGTAGTTTGAACTTTAAATATTCCTACCCTTTTTTTTAGTTTCATAAGTTTACGAAACAAGCATGATACATACAACAAAAGTATTAACATAAGACAACTGTAACCTTATATCTATATGGACATGAATATGTATACACCAGCGTTTGCAAACTCAGCCGGTTCAGTTCGGAACCGGCTGGTCAAACCGGAACCGGGCACTAGCCTATCCGGTTTTGGCCAGTTTTTGTGGACTTGCGGGGTATTTAAAAAGATAAAAAATAAATATAAAATCCAAAAAAATATGGGATTAATATTTTTTAATGTTTTTGATCATTTTGGCAAAAATTGAAAAGTGTTTTGGCCATACTTATTTTACAATTTTCCATCTTTTTTTGGGAAATTTCAAAAATTCCCCTGGCACAAATTGACTATTTAAATTCCATTATTTCACTAATTTTCTACTTAATTTGGATGGCTTTGTTTAATCATGCTTTAAATATAGTTTTCATATTTTTTTAGATTTTATTCATATTTTTTTTATTTTTTAACATTTTTTGACCGGCTGGGACCTACCTAATTCGATTTTTTGAACACTCGTGCACACACACAATACACATAATATAAATGCATATATGGCTATGCCTGAGCTTATGGACATGTAAATTGTGTGCGTGCATGAAACATACACATTATAGATATCATACATGTGTGTGTTACGTGCATAAAATGTACATACACAGACACAAATATATACATAGATTTAGGTGAATAGTGGAAGGGAGATAGAGCACCTCGTTCTTCATTATCGTCGTGGAGAAAATGGTGAAGGGGTTTGTGTGTGGGTTCCCGTGGTTCCTTGAGTAGCTCTTCTTTATCTGCCCCTTTATGTATTGATGACTCATTGCTAGAGATGTGATCTAGCTTCTTAATGTGATCGTTTCGAGTAGCTGGTCTATCTTGGACAGATTCAATATGTTGGTTTTCAAGATGATCGTCTGAAGAGCAAGGAATTGTCGACAAATATTTAATGGTCGGAAGGGCATAGACCTCACTCAACTCATTAATTTTAGGTTCTTCTTCTTGTTTTTTCAAATTATCTTTTTTCACAGGGATCAAATATCCTACTGCTTTGCCTGCCCATTTGTGTATGGAGAAATGGAACTGATTTTCACTCTGAGAAACCTCAGGAGAGTCTTTTGAAAGGGTATCTGAGGGCTTTGTTGGCTCATATGAAGAGAAAGGAATTTGGATGGACACAGGAGTTTGGCGATGTGTGCGAAGGCGAGATTCCATTGTCGGATCATCTTGTCGCTGCACCAATTGGGTTCCAATTTTGGACTTAAAGAGAGATTCCATTGTCGGATCATCTTGTCGCTGAGCCAATTGGGTTCCAATTTTGGACTTAAAACCATGGATTTCAGGTTGCTCTCTTGGGCTAGACAGGAAAAAACCAGGTGAAGCTGATGGAGATCCAAAAGTAGCTCTGCGCATCAGAGGACTACGACGAGTGGGGGAACTGAATGCTGGAGGGTCTATCCCCTTCCCCAATTTGCTAGATAGGCTAGAAAATTCAGGAAAATACAAAGAGATTAAAACTTAAACCAGTGAAAACATTTGAATCAAAGGAAAGAAATCAATATACAGTTAGTACCTAGAGTTTTACGGAAGCTCTGATGCCACTTATAACAAAATAGTAAACACATAGGCTACATAAAAACAGTGTGGACTGGGAGACTACAACTACATTTTCAAGGTTTTGCAACCATAAGCATCACTGCACACATATCAAGTACAAAACATAGCAAGTACAAAACAAAAGCCACCGTATATATACACTTCAGTACAACTCATGCCTATGCCCCGCTAGCCCCTAGTGTATCGCCTACTAACCCACTACAATTGCACAAAGTCGAACCGGAGCGGATAATCCCAAATACCGAGAAGCGGTTTGATAGACTTAACCAGTAAATCTTCCGATTCAACTGTTTTAATTGGGTAAATTTCAACAGTAAAAAGCATGTTAAAAATAAATAAATAAAAAATCCATTCAAATTTAAAAAACATATAAAAATTGATTAAAACAAAAACACATTCAAATAAAATTGAAAATTAATAAAAAAAAAATAGGTCTTAACCCATTCCATGTTTTCTAATCGTTATTTTTTTAATTTTTTTTAAAAAACTAGAAAACTATAAAAGTGAGTATTAGTGACCAAAACAATTTTTACTCTTACCGTAATGTAAGAAATATTTTAAAATGCATTACTAATTAAATTTTTTATTTTTGAGAATTTATATATATATCTTTTTTTTATTTTTTAAAATATCCATTGATCACCTTAATTGCCTAGAACCGAAACCGGCCATTGATCGATCCGATCTAACCGGACAATTATCGGTTAGATCGGACGATAACCGCCTCTTGCGCAGTCTTTGCTCGGCGGTAAGATTTAACCTCCTCTCCAGTGCACCACCTAAGAGGCCTCTAGAGAGAGCCTTAAGTGTGAAAGCAAATTAGAGAGAGAGGAGCAGTTACGTCGCTATCCACAAATAAAGCACCATTTGCACTGAATAAAGATGAAACAGAGTGGTCACAGAGAGTGAAATCAACATGTGCACAAAATTGAATCCAAGCATGAATTCAAGTTGTAAAACAACTAGAACACGAGATTCGCATTGAATGTGTAATAAGCTATGAATCTCAATACATAAATTGCTTCATTATCACTGTCTGATCAACAAAAAGCAGACAATTCAAGCTGTTGATGTATTAAAAAATCTCCTTTTTATCAAGCAAAAAAACTCAAAAAGAGTAATGATATGGTAATCAAACAAAATTAGTTTTCCCATTGAGGAGTTTCAGGTACGAAAGATAAACTCAAGGCCTAACATGGTAAAATGCTTTTTAATCTTGCTTGTGAGAGAAGAATACCCCTAAGCAATTTGACTCAAGATTTCAGATTCATAACACGGGTATATGTCACAACCAGAGAACTCAAGAGAGTGAGAGAGAGAAAAATGAAGAACCTGAAGTTGGGAGGCAAGGAAGGCCCTGGGCTCAATGCTTCACCATTGAGGAGTCCTGGAGCAAGAAACCGAGGAGTCGTCGATGGCGAAGAGAGAGAATTTCTCTCCGATGAACTCCCCCCATTAAAAATGTCATCAAAGAAATCCTCACCCAAAAGTCTCCTATGAACCCGAGAATTCTCACCAAAAACTGGTTGCTCTCTCATCCCAAAGGATGGGTTTCTCTTAGAAGGCAGTATTTCTTCTTTATACGCACTGGGCTTTCCCTCAAAAGCTCCATTAAAACTGTATCTTGATTCTGAGATTGAAGAACTTCTTGGAGGACCACCAAAAACATCATCGAAGTCAAAAGCAGGGCCTAATGGATTCTGAGGAACCACATTTACGTCTGTATTTCTGTAAGAGAAATTTGGCGAAGAAGTTACGCTGAAAGTCCCGGTTTCTAGAGAGATTCTCGATGTGCTATGCCCACAGAGGAGGTTCTCTGCAACACCCCATTTCTCCATGTTGGGTGGAGTTGATCAATCGCTAAAAGCCCGCTTAGAGAGAGAAGAGAGCTTAGACAGAGAAAGGGGCTTGCCCTGCGATTTACCTGGCATCTCATAGACCCATTTCTCCATGTTGGGTAGAGATGATTAGTCGCTAAACACTCACTTAGAGATAGAAGACAGTTTAGAGACTGACGAGGGCCTGTAATTGTGCATTACTGGATTTTTAGAGAGAGAGAGGCAAAGTGGAATTGTGTTATCTGATTCTGAAGAGGGCCTGTACTTGTGCATTCATTGATTTTTGGAGACCGAGGAAGAGTCAAATTGTGTTCTCTGATTATTTAGAGAGAGAAAACAGGGAATTACAGGAACCACAAGTTAGGATAAGCTTCTCTGTTGCATGGCCATGAATGTGTATAATTCAGATCGAGTATTTGTATTTATATATAAATTCGTAATTGCCTGAGGTTTTTTTCGTGGAGAGAGAATGAATGTGTTCTTGTCCTGTAGGGGAAGTATAGAAACCTTTATCTATTTAAAATTTTCCGAGGTTAGAGAGAGTGGGTCCCTCACTGGACAGAGACAGTCCAATGTACACAGCCAGAGAGCGAAAGAGAGAGAGAGAGAGGAGGGGGGGCGGAAATGCAGTTAGTCATGGACCCATGGCTCCAGTAGAGAGAGAAAGAGGGTTGAGAGAGAGAGAGAGGAAACGCAGTTAGCCATGGACACACGGCTTCAGTAGAGAGAGAAAGAGGGTGTGGGATGGTGGGGACAATCTAGGGAGACAGAGAGAGCATGTGGTTGGACTATTTAGAGAGAGAAAATGTGAGTGTCTAGAGAGAGAAAGCCTGTCTGGTTGGAGTTTGGAGCATTTGGAGAGGGAAAACATGTGGTGGGAAAATAGGAGTGGGCAGTAGCCGATGACCCCCTGGCCTCAGACTTTATTTTTTTCTTTTTCTTTTTTAATAATGAAGTAGTTTGATACGGCTGTAACATTAATATTCAAAGAAAATTACAATTCAATCATTGGAAAAGTTTTATATTGATCATCTAGAACGGTATGTTTTTTTTTTAAAAAAAAAAAAATTTAAGCTCTAAAAATAATGTATGTCATAACAAATTATTTGGACCTTTAATTTCGCCTTAAAAATAAATACCCCCATATCCATAAGATCTATACCTTTTTTTAGTTTCAAATATTATTGTTAGTATTAGAAAATGATTTTAGAACCATCATAGATATTTCTATTGTCAAAGGATTTCAGGTGGAACTTTATTGTGTTTTCATTAAGCCTAAATCCTATATAAACTTCATCATTTTTTTAAATGTAAGTGAGCATATATTGGATACTTGCTCCGTCTTTTGGAAGACCTATTTAGCATTTTCTTTCCTTTTTTTAGACAGTTAAGAAACCCTTTGAGAATTATTGGGGCGATTATTTGCAAAATAAAAAAAATTAGATTATAAATTTTCTAACACTTAGATTCCATCTTTAGATAGTCTATTCAATCTTGGGATAATATTATTCCAAGTTTATAGATAATGCAATTAAGAAATTATTTTTGTTAAAGTTATGTTAAAATATATATATATTTTTATTGAAGTTAGTCCTAGTTTGCATCTCTGAAACTTGGCGTCTTAAAATTACACCTCGAATGTATAGATGGATATTTTGTGTTTAACATTGAGACATATTTCTTTAGGTGCATAGATCTTGTAATTTTGAAATTCTTTTATTGAGATCAATCCTTTACATCCCAAAATTTGTCGTCTTAAAATTCAAATTTGTAGTCTTAAAATTAATCATTAAAAGATGGGTGTGGTTTCTATAGAGCCGAGGCTCTAAACAATCAAATTAGAGCCTACCTTTAAATAGTATCGAGAAATGTGGTTTTATAAACTTGAAAATATTGAAAATTGACTATCCAAAAATACGTTACAAAATACACTATTTCTAAAACTTAAAATCCATTTTTTTCTCATGTCCAAGTATCTTGATGTTGAAATGATCAATTTGAGGATATTTGGACATGAAAACGTCTTCTAGTGAAATTTTTGAGGTAGGCTCAAATTTGATTGTTTAGAACCTCCGCTCTACATAAACTTTTCCCTTAAAAGATACTATTGAAGGGTAGCCGTATGAATAATCATCTAAGGGCTCAGAATGTCTCATTACTTATGGTGGTTCATTTTTAATTTTCATTAAAAAAAAAGGCATATCTTTCACAAATTTGATTAAAATTTTCACATTCCTGAATAATAATGGGTAGCTTCCCACCACATTTGCAACTATTCAAACTCTAGAACGTGTGTTTTTATGGGCTTTTTAAAATTATATTAAAAAATATATATAAATTGTTAAATTCAAAACACTGAAAATTATCCAGCTAGACTGCGAACGCATTTATGCATGATTTGCTACTGCCTCCAGTTGATTCAAGTTGGAGGCCTCCAAGAATGAAATAGGACACAAAGGAGGTTATGTTTCTTCTGAACAGAGTTGAGGACATATGTGAAGATCATTTCAGAGCCACCTTACACCTGTAAGAACCATTGATCTAAATGCCATATTCATAAGATGTCAATACATTACTTACATGGATTATATAGACCATTTGCTTTCAATAGAAGGGGTCACAATTGTTTATAATCATCCGATATGAAATTTAATAGGTTGGGTGTGTCAAAAAGTTCGAGAAATTTTCTTTCGAAGTATGTGCTTGGTCAGTGAAATAAATGCAACCATCCAATTTCTTAATAGTGACCACTTTGCACCAAAGGTAAATGGTCACATTGTATACTTTTCCTTACTTAAATTGCTATATATAAACCGAAATTATTGCAAGTTATTTTCAGTGTTACAAGAAATTTAAATAGCATTTGAACTGTTATAGAGGTCTCATCATTACGTCATACTGCAAAATATTCTGAGCTTAACGTGGATAACGCAAAATGTAAACAACATCAATGACAGCAGCTAGGCATCTGCAGGCAACAAATAGCTTCTGAACAACAGTAAAACATGAACTCCCATAACTTATGGTTCTGTCTTACGGACTCGGGCGAATGCCACTTCTACTCATCCAAGTTTGACAGCGTGCAAAGCAGGAGATAGTCATGTCCGCATTTTCAGAATGTTGGAATATCGTTGAAGTAACGAGCATGCCGCAGTTATGTTTTGCATTTACATGACAAGCCAATCGCAATCTCGTTTTCCATTTCATATACATGCACACTTATATTTTGTATTTATATTCGAAATGAGATCTAGTCAGTTTAAGTTTTAGCTGATCAAGAGTATATGGTTGTATGTGTTTTGCACTCGATGTGAATCTGCAGCCTCTGGTGCCAAAATATTTGCAGCTGTGAAAGAAGGAAACCAGTGCCAACACTAAATCATGTTTCCAAAATGAACTGATGGGAGATATTGCCAACAACAGCCAAAAATCATAAACTCGATTTAAAACACTGAAGTTCCATTCGCAAATGTATAGTCAGAAAATGTTTGAAAATTTGGGAATGGCTTTGCTCAAGTGTCAAGGAACCAAACTTAAAGACTGAATTTGTTACTCAGAAGAAACTCACACATGCACGCATGTACACCCCGTGCACGAGAGCGGAAAATGTAGTATACTAGATTTCATAAACTTTACACCCTGAATATTCTGCCGTCGGAGGGGGAAAAAGGCTCACGCATGGAAAATGTGGTACACAGAAATTCATAAACTTACAAATGAAAATACGAATGAAATCTACAGACCTTAAAAAGTTATTATAAAGTGCACATTATAAGCAAAATGGGGAAGGGAAATATTTAGTGAACAGAATTTTCAGCTAGTAAAACGCATAGAAACAAGAGTGATTATCTGGATAACTACTTAGTGGTTTGACTGAAGGTATGACCTTTGATTGAGCGGAAATGGCGGAATAAGATTCATATAGCTGAGCTCGAATAATTGGGATAAAGCTCAATGATGATGATGATGATGACTTAATGGAGACTGCAACTCAAATTCAGAACAGGAAATATACAGCAATATATTTGCTTACTGAGTAACACAAGTGCCTCGTGGCAACAAGGTGAGGACGTAAGACTACAAATGAGAATAGGCAAAACTAAAAGTTTTAAATATAATTAAAACCAAAACAAATGATGTAGTACATCTTGCATTTCTCCCCTTTACTTTTTTGTGGGTGTCATAATGACAAATAAATTCTCTTCCATCAACATCAACTATAACAAAAAAATACACATACAAGTTATTACTTTTGATTTCATGAGACACCATTAAGCTCTCTCCGATTTGTTGTTGGCTATAAGTGAAGAAAACATAGTTGAATGTACAAAAAGCAGGTAAAATTGAATAAGTGTATCTTGAGCCCAACTCAGCCACCTAATAAATAAATAAACAAATCATACCAAGAAAATACCTGCTTAAGAAGTTGGATAGAAAAATTGCTTGGAGCTCTTCCTAGGAACACCCTTTCTGCCACAATAGAGAAGAATAAGATAATTCACGATCAATACAATCTCTCTCTCAAGCATTTCTCACTTATTCTCTCACACGCTCATTACATATCTAACTTTTTCACCATCAATCCTTTCTCTAAGGATTCATAGATCTAACCTCAGTAGGAGTCATGAAGCCTCGTTCTCTTTTCTGTTCGGATCGCATCCTGAACGTGGTCGTAGTCCATCTTTAAGTTTATTGGGAATTGTAACGAACCAGCTATGCAGTCAATGGCTATGTGAGAGCCAAGGGAGAGAGTTGTTGTGTTGCTACATTTGCAATGGGTAATTTCAGTGTTCTTTCGGCCCAAACTGTTATTTTCACCGAGAGTTTACCACTGATATTTTACAAATCATTAGAAAACTGTCACACAGTGATGTGATACAAAGTGAAGAGAGAAGTCCTGAAAGTGATAAAATTCAAGTGACTAGCCCAGAGGTGGAGATATGTAGCAAAATGACAATCCACATAAGAAAATAACAGAATCCAATACAGATGAAATATAAAAAAGACATTTTTTTTATGGATAAATATATTGATTTGGAATCATTCACATCAAGTTGCTCAAAAATAGAATCAGAATCGCATACATGGCAGAGATGGAGAGAGAGAAGGGGGGGAGGAGGGGGAGAGAGAGAGGTGGGCTATTACTTGGGGAATCAGCTGGGCAGACTGTGCAAACATAAAGCATATACCTTTGGTTCCTAGCACAGGCTAGTGAATCGCCAGTTCATTTGCCATCCTTGGAACATGATGAAAGCTGGTTAGCTTTCCTCGACCAAGGCCAATAATCTCTTCGACCATATTGACCATCCTCCATGGATATGGGCTTTCTTTACTCGCCCAGCAGATCACATTAATTGAAATTAGACCTTATAAAATTAGGGTTTGAGTATAAATCTTGACAAACCAAAGTATATAAACGAGCAAAACTTCCTGCTCATATCTCGAAAGTAAAAACTCTCCATAACAGTTGAAACCTTCCCCCTCCCCCCAGGGGCAGCCAAAAAAAAAAAAGTCTCAGAAATTACAGAATAGTACCTGAAATTCTAAATGAAATTCTAAATAAAAAAATCCAGAACAGTTCTTGAACTTCTAATTTTTTTTTTCATTTTTATATATTTTATTTATTTTCATATCCATTGCAGAATAAATGGAACTTTTCAAAAGAACGAAACAACCCTTTATAGTGCAAGCAGATCATAAAAAATGAAACTTTTCAAGAGAGAAAAAACTTTGCACTGCCCAAATATTAACAAAAGGAATCATATGCAAATTTAAATATCACTCATCGTCAGCAAGGCACTTCACAGTTTCACCATAGACAGAATGCCTGAAAATTATCATAAAGTAGCGTTTTCCAAACAGAGCATCATAAAAGAGTGCATGAGGCACAAAGCCTCTATTTAGAGAATACTTACAGTAAAGAACTCTCATTTTACATAGTTAGTACATGACTTTATAACTTGCAATGAAACCTTAAAATGAGGAAGCCAAAACCAAACCCAGAAAACCAAAAGGACAAAATGTACAGAGAAGCCATGAGAGGCCAAAGGAAAGAGAGTGAGTAATGTGCATAAAACAGAAAAATGCAAGAGTGTTGGATGGACTTCCAAGTGAAAGGAGGGCATCTCAATGGATGAGTTGTTGCAGTTGGGTTGCTTTGAGACATGGAGAAACCTCAAAAAGAATTTTTACTTTTTACTCCTTAAACGCAACGCATTTAGAGTCAAAGAACGAAACCTTCAAAGTGAGGATGATGCCCACCTCTCTATGACAAATAAAAATGGGTGCGAATAATTTGGGGTTGCAAGTTGATGGCGTGTGTGAGAGGCGCAGCTCTAAGGACCAGCTCACAACAACACCTGGGAATTTATCCTTACATTACTACAATTAGATATGTATTTGAAATTCAGGCTTGGATCTCAGAGCCCACCCATGTTGACCTAAGTGCCGAGTCATTATGTAAACGTAAAACTTAATTGAGTACTTCTATCAAAAACAGTGATTTAAAATTTAAAACTCGGGTCAAGGTCTTGCGCCTGAGTCAGCAGTCCGACTCAGCCGAGTGTCGATGAAAATTACACAAGAGGGTTCATGACCCAGTGAGGATCGGGCAACTCTCGGGATCTTTTATTCGGACACGTCAACCTGCCAGGTCCAAGTGATTCATGCAAGTTGGAGCCTAAGTCGCTGAGTTTTCAATCACTGATAAAAAAAGAAGTAAAACAACTTTTTCGTCTCTATATTTTCAGCATCATTTTTAGGTTTTGCAACACTTTCTAAGTTGCTTGAGCTTGGGACCAAGATGACTAATGATGTTTTTCAAATTCAGATTTTCATATTTCAAAATAGATAAAGAATAAACATACACTAATAAGCACTACTAAATATAATACAGAGCTATGCATATTTTAAGTCCAAAACCGATGATCTCAAAATACATGCACACATGCAACAAAGAAATAACATGACTCAACATTATGTTCAAGGTCCTCACCAACCACATCAATGCAAAAAACAAAAGAGAGAACAAACATACCAGTATTAATTGGTGCACCCAACTTTATACCAAGTGCAGATATTCACATGCATCACTAGGTTTTAGCCATCCAGGATGGGACCTAGCCAAATCCTTTACGATGGACAGTGCGGGGAGAGGGTATGAAGACCATGAATTTCATAGTGATGGCTGATGATGTAGGGTCTTTGTTTGATAGGTCCAAGGTCCAACATAATAAGCTGCATTTCTATAACATAAACTGGTATAAAACAAAGTGGAAAACAAGGGTGCATGTATTTATCCTAAATCTAAAACAGAAACTGATGCTCGTGGGAGCCTGTTTGTGAAGAGATTATAATACATCTGTTTATCAATTATCTGAGATGTGAAACATGAATTGGAGAAAGATCCATCAGCAAAAACATGAAAAATGAGAAGTTTGATGTTATTTTATTATTAAAAAGAGGGTAGTAGTTGCGAATAGCATTTCAAAAAAGAGAGCTTACATAATGATACCAAAAAAAAAGGGCTAGCCACAGTCTCTCTAGTTATGTGTGACTACTCTTAAGAACTTGTATATGCAGCCCATGGTATCCTTCCACCGTGGTTGCCAAGTCCCATGAGTTCATATTAGTCAGGTTTGCAATCTTTCCTCAATTGATACATTAAGAAATGAGTCATCAGGATGATGCACAACAGATTTTGCTTTCCTATTCTTAGCAGCTCGGATTTGATCAGCAAGAGAAACGCTTCTCTGCATCTTCTCTCTCTTAATAAAATCTAAATCCCACTTCTTTGCAACAGTTTCTGAACCATTGACCACACTTTCAAGGCTCATGCTTTCCACACCAAGGAGCTTCTTCTGATGCATCTGGACACAAATCAACCCTTAAAATGAGAACCCAAAAAATTTAATACCCAATATTGAAGAAAGATCACAAAATTTTGCAGAATTTAATATCAGATGAAGAAAGCATGGAACCCAGAAATAAATTATTTACCATTTTCATAACAATGTTAGTCAAAGAGACCAAAAGTTTTCAAGTGCACTATGATTTTCAGATCAAAAGTTAATTCCAATTTAATTATTAAATGCATGAGCTAAGTAGCCATAAAAATCTTGCATGATTGCCATTCAACTAATCATTGGAGAACAAAGAATGGTGATTAGACGTTTACCTTGGTTAGCTTCACTTTGAGTCTTAGTTCCTTGGATATGGCCTCTGCATTCACTTTCTTCATCAATCTCATCTCTGCAGCTTCTTTCATTTCTGCTCTCGCTTTTGCCTTTCTGTCCTCCCTTAGTTGGCGCACTAGGACAACCATTGCCATTTTTTCTGCCTTGGCCTTTGCCATTTTCTCGTTTCGTATTATGGATATTTTCTTAGCTTTCTCTTTCTCTGCTGCCCATTGAAGTTGTTGCCGGATTATGTCTTCTTTCAATTTTTCAAAGCTGTCCCAATTTAGCTCTTCCTGGCCATGACCACCTTTTCTAGCTTCTTCTGCAATGCTTTGTTGCCATTCCAAGCAGCACTTGTTTTGCAAGGTCTTCCGTCTTGATCGTTCTTGCCATATTCTTCTCAAGGCAAGGCCTATTCGTGCCTTGCTTTCTTCGCTGTATAATGCATCTTATTACTTGCAGTAACAGAACAAGATGATAGGTTCTCTGTTTGCCTTTCTTTATAATAGATACAGAGGATAGATAATGCTAGAATTCAGTTCACCATATATTTCCAACTTTTTGGTTTGGAATCAGAGAATGGGTAATGATAATTAAAAAGGTAACTATTAAGAAAGAAAAAGGTATGTATTAAGATAGAAAATAACACTGTTTGTAGCAACGGTAAGAGAATAACCAACCTAATATTCTCTGCACAAGCCTTACAAGGAGAAAAAAAGAGACATTAATGAGATATATAATCAGAAAGCAAGGAAGAATAATTACAAAAAATGCATTTTTATATATGACATTATAAAGATCAAGCCATTTCCCTAGGCGACAACTTCATGCTAGAAAATACCCCTCTCTTAGAGTAGAAAAGAAACAAATTTGTTCAGATATTAATCTAAGAATTTGAGTCCACAAGCATAGTAAAACCAAAACCCAAAATTAAACGCTCTTTAGATGCATCAATAAAATTCGTGTTATCTTGCAGATCATGGCACATCTCACAATTCCCACAATAAAGTGCATCTCCACCATCCATTTGCATATTTGCAAAGGACAGACAAGTCCCACCACGAAACCACCCAGCGACTGAGGGATCCAACTTCATGGTAGACCATACCCTGCCATGCAATTTTTTTTCTTCAAATCTAGGTACAATTACATACAAAATTAATCTCCAACATCTAAATACAGGGCTGACCATAGTGTGAGCTTCAACCAGTTTATGAATGTCACAAATATATTAGTGACCCTGAGCTGCAAATCCCATGAAAGGACTTGACATGGACTCATCTGTTACTACGTACTAGGTGGTCTCACCCTTCTTTTTGGGGGCTGCTATTTTTGTTAACAGGAAAGAATCAAATGGCCCAAGTAGTGGGTAAGTATTTATCACATTCTTGTTTATCAGATTCTATCATCTTCCTCTAATAAACTTAGTATTTAATGTCATTACAATATAAATAATTCTCTTGATATTACCTGCTTATACAGTATGGACTCACTTCACTGTTCTGCCATCAGATGCATGAGCAAATCATTCAATAAAAGCCTTTATGTATTTGTCAAGAAAGAAAAAAAAAAGCCTTAATTCGTGAATTGGTTCAGAAGAGCTAAATGGATGAGAATTGCAAAGGACTGCATGCTATGAGAAATAACTATATCCTGAGTATTTATACCATATATTTAGACAAATGTTCATCGGTTTGATGTTAATTCAGTGGGATGTAGCATTTCTGCTTTGCCCTTCAAGAAAATTTCTAAAAGTTAGTTAAGAGTAAGAAATTCTTAGATTAGAAATGGAGAGATTAAATGACTAAATGGAATTCCACCTTAGCGTAAACAAAATCCCAAGAGACCTGTATACTATCCCCAAGGCCTAAGCATTTGGAATGAACCACTTAAAAGGAAATGGGACACGTATAAACTTCAGCATAGAAACACTTCCATAAATATTCCAAAGATGTTCTCAAAAACCAGAATAGCAGGCACAACTTCTAGAGGTTGCATGATGGTTTTCATCAAACACTAAGTAATCTTGTCCCAAAGCTTTCCACTATTTGTTTGTCCCGACTTTTTTCTTTCTCCTTTTCTTTTTTCCTTTTCTTTTTTTTGTGGCAGTGCAATAAAAGTATCACTAGGGGTGTCAAATGGCTTGGTTCAACCCGACCGCTGTCCTGGTCAAGTCTAGAGGTTCACTTGACCTAGACCAGGCCTAGGTGGGGTCTAGGTTGTCTCGACCTGATATACATCATCATTATCATCAACATCATCATCAAAGCCTAATCTCAACTATTTGGGGTCGGCTACACAAACTATGTTCCACTATTCTGCTCTATCAATGGTTACTCTCAACATATATCTTCTCACTACTGTCCTTTTGGCTTTCCCCTTGCCTTTTTAGAGACTTCCACTTAAACCAAATCGCCCCTCCTAATTAGTGGTGTTATAGGGTGACACTGCACATGGACATCCCACTTAAGTCTACTTTCCCTCATCTAATCGCATATTGGAGTCACCTCTAAGTTCTTTTGATGAATTCATTCTGAATTCTATCCTTTCTTGTGTTGCAATTCAGCCACCTCAATATCCTTATCTCAGTTACACACATTATATGGATATATTATTTCTTGACCGCCCAACATCCCGTTCCTTAAAGCATGGCTAGTCTAAAAGCAATCCTATAGAACTTCAGCTTCAGTTTCACTGGTATATGGCAATCACATAAAACTTCGGAAACATACCTCCACTTCCTCTAATTCTATGTGCAACGTCTTCCCCAAGGTCTCCATTCTTATGGATTATCGGCCCAAGATATCGAATGATCTCTTTAGCTACTTTCTTGGCCATCAATCTTAACTACTACCTCGTTTCTACTCTTGTTATTACTAAACTTGCATTCCATATATATTGTCTTAGTCGGGTTAATTTTAAAACTTTTTTATTCTAGAGCATCCCTCCAAAGTTCTAACTTTGCGTTGACGCCTTCTCTAGTCTCATTAATCAAAACTATGTTATTTGCAAACAACAGACACCACGGTACCTCATCCTGTAGACGTCTAGTTAACTCCTCCATAACCAATGAGCTTGTGTGTGTCTATGTGTGTATACATATGAAAAATATCACTTAAGGGATCAAAAACCCTTACAAAATAACTAATAGAGTCAAAAAGATCCCATTTAACCTTGGCGAGTTTACTTTTTAATTTTCATTTCAATCAAGCACCTCCTCAACAAATATCTTCAAAAATATCCAAATTAACCAAGCTCAGGATTTCGACAAAACAAGAAAGGTCATTTCAGTAATTTGACCCACCTTGAAAAGGCAAGGGTACTCCCATCATTTGATTGGGGCCTCATAGGCAGGTCAAATTATTGAAATGCCTTTCTTGTTCATGGTTTTGAACCTTCAACAGGGGCAACTTGGGTATTTTTGAATATACATTTTGAGGAGATACCTGAGTAAAATGAAAAGTAAAAAGCAAATCCTCTAATCTTAATTTTGATCTTTTGTCCCCCTTAATGATTTTGTAAATAGTTTTGACCCCTTAAATGTATATATTTATTATAATTAATATATATATATATATATATGAATTATAAAAAATATAAGTTTCAATCTACTTGACCTGGACTTGACCGAAGCTAGGATCGAGACCAAGTCAGATCCATCCTGATCCATTTACAGCCCTAAGTGTCACAAGGGGATCTTAGAAGCCTAAATTTCCCTTCCAGTAAATAGACACAACATGCATATACACATGCAAATGCATGTGCAATATCGTTATGTTTCATGCATATAAAAAAGCATAGACACATAAGTACGAAATAATGACCTTTAGTATTTTATGTGGAATGAGATTCAGAATGTACCTCTATACGATACAAGGCACAAAATAATAAAATTTACACTACATCCTAAGGATTACCATTTTGTGCCCATCTCACATCATGTACCATATCCACATTGGATTGTATCAAGGCACTATGCATAATATATACTTATATATCAAATACTTATATAGAAAGAAGACTGCAAGTGTCATAGCCACATGCATAGTACACATTAATATTAAATTATATGATGCAGGGAGAAAATAACATTGGAACAATAAAAATAAAAATAAAAAAATATTGAGAGAATATACTCCCTCTCAAGGTCTGCAAGGGAGTCCATCCCAAAAAACAATCTTTTCACAAGATCAGCTTTACTCAATTCAGATCTTTTCACAAGATCAACTTTACTCAATTCAGATCTTTTAACAAGATTAACCTCTCTCAAGTCAGATCTTTTCACAAGATCAACTTTTCTCAATTCTCATTCTTTGATCATTCTCTCATCTGTTTACAAAGAAGAGACATCTCCCTTTTAAATAGACTATAAAAAAAGATTAACAAATAACTAAAAAAAATACCTCCATCTCTCTCTCTAACTTGCACAGATTTTCCTCCAGCCTATCTTCTCTCTCTTCATATCCCTATTTTCTCTCAACTATACAAGCCTCCATATCTCTCCATTATCCTTCCCATATCTAAATCCATCTCTATCTAAATCTAACCAAATCTCCCACCAAGATTACCTTTCCAAGATTACTTCATATCTATTCCCCAAAATCTTCCCTCTTAACAAGACCTACCAAAAATCCTCCCTTAGCCTCTTTAACTTTATCCTTATCCTAGCTCTCTTCCTATTCCTAAAAAATAAAATAAAATAAATAAATAAACTCCAATTTTTATTTGCATCACTATATACTTAAATAATGATAACCATACATAAATATTAGAAACTATATATATGGATGGATAAATACAAGTGGGTGCAGTTTATATAAGGCGATAACCTTAAAGAATCAAAGTAAGATGCACCTTCCAAACCCTATTGAAAGATAGGGTTCCATTGCCAGAAACCCCTAAGATGGCCTGAAAATCTATCCCCACCCCATAATTATGAAACTCAAAACTCCAAAAGTGGAACAGATCGAGAAAACCTATAAAAACTTAAATATTTTGAAAACAAGCAGTCGAAACCATGTGTTACAACATGCACTATTTTTAGGCCTTGATGCCCTTCTTTTTCTCATATACATACAACTCGAGGTCGAGATGATCAATTGGAGGGTTGCCAAAGTTGGAACAAACTAGGAACCAGCAAAGTCCTAACCTAAGTCAATTAGCCTGCCTTAGCTGAGTCTAAAATGACTTGACAGGGTCAGTTAAAAAATCAGAGCAAGTAATTAAGACTAGGATGAGTCTCGATTTATTTATCCAAAACTAGTTCGGGTCTCAACTCTGGAGCCCCGAGTTGACATGCAGGGTGTTAACTGCATCCACAAGAGCATTGCTATCTATCACAAAAGTGTTAATGCACCACTGAGTTTGTCAAACGTATTGTTTGCATTGAAACTCCCTCGTTGTTCCCCATCTTATGGGTCTCCAAAACTGCCACTTCCCCAATTCCATTGCTATGAGAGGGTCAACTGGGTTTTGTGATAGATTTCTGGCAAAAATGGTCCTAGTTTTATTTAAATTGTTTCAGAACTAGCCTTCTTCGCCAGACATCATGCATTCTAATACCTTCCTCAAATCCAAGGAAGTCGCCCTCACCATTTACCCCATATGTTCTTCTTGAAGTGCAAATCATTAGTTTGACCAACCAACCATTTAATACCTTCTACTAATAAAGTAGTTGTGCCTCTTAGCAAGTAGTCTTATTTGATAATTACTTAGCAAGATTTTTGTTCTCTTTTTTTAATATTCATATAAAAATATCAGGGATATTGTTTATAGAAACTGACAGGACATTCCAGAAGAAAATAAAATAAAATCTAAGCCTAGGGTTGCTGGACTCTGTCCAATAAGATTCAAACACATTCTCATTTCCGTGAAATACACAACCCTGCCTCTGTTGTTTTTCATTGTACAATTGTTCTGAAAGAAAGAAAACACAGAAGTATCATTTGTATGTCCTTAGATAAGGCAGCAATTACAACACCCCTCATTATGAATGCAGTCATAACCCCTCTTTCCTGTATTCATTACAGAAGCACCCCACTGTAGAGGCTTCCAGTGTTCCACAATCAAATATACATAGAGTCGTGGAGGACCAAGGCACGACAGGGGATAGGG